AGGAGAAGAGAAGAGAAGAGAGGAGAAGAGAAGAGAAGAGAAGAGAGAAGAGAAGAGAAGAGAAGAGAAGAGACGAGAGAGAGAGACGAGAAGAGAAGAGAAGAGAAGAGAGAGAGAGAGAGAAGAGAAGAGAAGAGAAGAGAAGAGAAGAGAAGAGAAGAGAAGAGGAAGAGAAGAGAAGAGAAGAGAAGAGAAGAGAAGAGAAGAGAAGAGAAGAGAAGAGAAGAGAAGGGAAGGGAAGGGAAGGGAGGAGAGGAGAGGAGAAGAAACGATGAGAAGAGGAGACAAGAGAAAAAGGGAGAGGAGAGACGCGGAGGAGGGGGAAGCGGAGCAGGAGGAGAAAGAGGAGAAAGAGGATGAAGCGGAGGAAGCGGAGGGTAAAGAGGAGAAGGGAGAGGAGGAGGAGGAGGAGGATGAGGAGGAGGAGGAGGAGGAGGAGGAGGAGGAGGAGGAGGGGGAGGAGGAGGAGGAGGAGGAGGAGGAGGAGGAGGAGGAGGAGGAGGAGGAGGAGAGGGATACAGAGAGGGGAGCGGAGGAAGGGAAAGCCCTACACGCGCAGGCGCGACATCTCCCCAACGCCAGCGAGGGTGCGATATCTACCCGCAACGAAGAAGACCAAAACCATGTACAAACGACATATAAGCGATGTAACAAAACGGTCTTACGCGAGATGGCAAAGCGACCTTACACGGTGGCTTACGCGGGCCGCTGGCGCGGCACGCCACATTGGAGACGAGGGCGCCTACGCGCGACCTTACGAAAGCAGCTTACGCGCGAATGTCGGCGCAGACGACCCCGTTTTGTTGGCGTCGCTCGTATGTCGCCGTGCCGATTGTTCTCAACACGCCCAAGTAGACGAAGCCAGCACCGCGGCAAACCCGCAGCAAACCCTATGTCCGAGGCGAAGTTTGCGGTAGAGGCCGCGGCGCGCTCCCCAAGACGCAAGGCCGAGCGTCGGAAAACGGCGAAGCGACATATGTAAGGTTCCTCGGTAGTACAATTGGAAAAGGGCCTCCCCATGCCACCCCGCCCGACGGCCCCCTCCAGCCCCTGCACGCGAACTGAACCCACCCCCGTCAGGCGATCCAGCCCCCCCACGCCATCCACCATCACCACCCCTACGCAGTTCCCTGAGATCCGACGCCGCCCCCCCTCAAAAAAAACATCGTCAAACATCGTGACCAGATTCCTAGACCCAATTTGTTCTGCTGCATTTTTCGAGCTGGATCGATCTGTGATTGTTACAGGGACAGGGCCTGAAGCGAGGCAAATTCGCCCGAGGTGGAAAAAATGCAACGCCAGGATCTCAGGGATTGCGTTTGTGCCGCCTTTTGCCTATCGGTCCTCGGCGCTGTCGCAGCCAGCCGGCGCCCCGAAGGTGCAGTGGCCCCTGGCGTCGGCGAGCAGCCCGAAGTCGGCCACGTGGCCCACCCAGAGCCAGTCCAGGCACTTCTGGAGGAACCAATCCTTCAGAGGGCACATTTGGTAGGGCTTCGGGTTACGCACACACACACACACACACAGACCTCCGACGACATGATTTGTTCAGTCTGGGCAATTATTTCTGAATTTCGACACATGGAGCCAGTTTTCGGCTTCCAGGGCCACCAAACATGCATCGGGGACGAGAAGGCGTCCTGGGGGAAGGAGTCGGGAACTCTGGGGTCGCGGATTGAAAAAACCACGTCGGCGAATGACAGGGCAGCCCCCCCAGGTAGTTCCAGCTGGCATCAACAGGCCCCCGAGTAGTCCAGGGCGGTCTCGACACCCTGGGGCCGCCTCCGGCGGCGCCCCTGGGGCCCTCCGTGCCCCAGGGTTGAACCATTGATAACGCCCTGGGCTACTCGGGTGGCCTGTGGAGGCCAGCTGGGACTGTTCGGTAGCGTTTCGAGGTGAGCTGGGACTACGGAGCGCAATCCCAGGGCCGACAGATGAGCGATAGGGCCTCAGCCGCAACTCCGCAGAGTCCTGGGCGGTAGGGGGTGCTGACGGGCCCCCAGATGAATGGGCGATCAGGGATCGACGCATTCCCCGGAGAGCGTGTCCCCCGCTGACGATACCCTATGGTTTTCGAGCCACAGCTCGGCTCCCCGGCGGCCACTCGGGACGACCTGGGCACCCCTGGAGTGCTCTCGGCGAGGCGCAGCTGCTGGAGAGCGTCCCGAGGCAGGGAAACCTGCGGGAACACACGAGAATCTCCGAAAGCCTCAAAGCCTCTGAGCCTATCTCCTCCCCAGCGTTGCCCGTGGCCCCCGAGTCCTCCCCCCAGCCGCTCCAGTCGAGTTCGCTCCTGCACAGCGCCTCGCCCTCGAGGAACAGCTCCACGGCCCTGCGCGACAGGACCTCGATGCCCCCGAAGAGCATGCCGCCCAAGCGGGGGCAGTTCAGCAGGTACAGCCCGGCCGAACCCGCCCCGTCGACGCGGGCGAGCCGCCGGCGCAGGCGCTCGGGGAAGAAGACGGTGTCGGGGTCCAGCTTGGCGGTCCAGGCGTGGCTCTTGAAGCTGCCGTCGCCCCGCACGCCGCGCCAGACCTGCTCGAACGTGGCGGCGTTCAGCCACGAGCTGGTCGTCTGCCCAGGCTTTGCGGTGTCGCCGACCTCGGAGCTCGGCATGGCCACCGCGCGGGTGAGCACCTGGAGCTGGCCGGCGCGCAGCAGGACCTCCTGGTCACTAAATACCTGGAAGCAGGAAAAGCTGCAGAAGCACAAACTTTCGCAGCTCCGAAAATTTATGCCATCTGGTTTTTCCCTTCTTCGGACACCGTCCGCGACTCGCAGCCGAAGATGCCCCCCTCCCGCTCCAGCTGGGACACGACGAGCTCCTGCTCACCACTACCGGCCATCATCACAAGGAAGCAGAAGAGCGACGGCAGCGCCGTGTGGCGCTCAGCGCCTGCCTCGGCCCCGCCCCTAGGGGTCCCGTGCGCAAGCTCGGGCTGGCGCCTAGCCGCCGACGACGTGGTGGTGGTGGACGTCGCGGAGGGGTTCCAGAGGCGCACCGGCACGCTGGTGGTGGTGCTGGTCGACGTCGTCGAGGCGCTTCTGCTGCTGGTGATGGACGTCGTCGAGGAGCTGTGGCTGGCGGCGGCGCGGCCGTGCCCGTCCCGCCGCCCCGCACGGCCGGCGGAGCGGCCCGTGCCTGCCGCAGGCGAAGCGCCCGCCGCGGGAGCCGCCACCGGCCTCGTGGCGCCGAGGGGCGCGGCGGCCTCGGGGGCGCCGCGGGCGGCGTGGTCCGCGCGGCGCCCCGCGCTGTCCGGCTGCAGGCGGTGCGCCAGCAGCAGCAGCGCCACCAGCGAGGCAGCCAGCGGCACCCCGGCGACGCTCAGCGCGGCGCAGGTAGGGCGGCCTGCGCTGCGCAGGGCAGCGCCCTCGAACCCGAGCAGGTCGCGGGGCCCGCCCTCGTCGTCCGTCGCGAGCTCGATCTCCTGGCTCTCGTGGCGCGCCAGCGGCGTATAGCCTCTACGATCTGCCATCGCCGAGCACCATGACTTCGGAGGGTGGGCGAACAGTCAGCATGGCGAGTGCGCTCCGAGCCCCCCCCCCTTTGAGCCCACAGGCTAGGGGAGCAAACAAGTACGCACGAGTTCGTTTATGCACTCCGCAGGGACACATGGCAGCAGCAGCCGAATGGGGCGGTAGGCTGGGGCTGCAGTGCGCGCGAGCCCTCCAGCGTATCGGCGGCGCCTCCCTTGCTCCCCGCCCCTTCCCCCTCCTCCTTGCCGCCCCCCCTCGCTCGATCTCTGCCGTCTTGGCTCCGTCTCTCCCGTCCGCTCTCCCCCCCTCCTCCCTCCACGCGCCGCCTGGAGGGCTGCTTGCACGAGCCCCTCGAGCTAGCGCCTGGCGACGTAAAGCCCTCATCAGCGCCGAGGGGTCACGGCGCCAGCGCCGCACAAGGCCGGACGGCGGGGGGAAGGCGCAGAGACCGCCGCTCGTCGTCGGAAAGGGTTCGACTTCGGTTGACGACTCGTTCACGCAGCAATCGCGTTGGGCCACCTGCTCGAGAGGGGCTGGTACCTGAAACACGACCACGCCGTTCTCTGCTAAGGTAATCCACGTCCTTTCCACCAACAGCGATCACCGAGCACGAGTATTTCTAAGAGCGAGGCTCTGGTGGCACACCTTATGCAGGCCTTTTACAGCACATTCTGAGTAGCATGCTCATCGCTGGCGGAGTCAGACAAAACCAGAACCCAACCGATCGCGAAGCAAATAAGTCCGCACACATATAGAACAGCACTTCGGGTGAGAAGGGGGTTGGGAGCATGGGTGCCGCTTTCGGTTTGCGATTGGCGTCAGATCGGATTCTGGATAAAAAATGTACGTACAACGGTATCGCAATCTACATATCGGTATCACTGTCGATCGGTCGGAATCCCTGCCTACCTGTTGATATCACAAACGATCGATGCCACTATGAACATACCTATATGTCAGGCTATACCTCATCTATACTGTCTACCTATCGATTGCCCTGTGAAAATACCGATCGGTCTCACTACCAATTTTTACGTCTCACTCTATGGGCCGAACTCCCAATGTATCAACCGAAAACCACGGGACGATCACGGGGCAACTACGGAACGCCCACAGAAGAACCACGGGACAATCACAGAACAACCTAAGGACAACCACAGGACGGAAACATTGGACAACAGAAGGACAACCACGGAACAACTGGACAACCACAGGACAACCACACGAGAACCACAAAACAACCGCGAAATAACGTCGGGACAACCGCGGAACAACCACGGGACAACCGCCACACAACCACGGGGCAATCCAATTGCAACCGTGAAACGACGGACAGCCGCAGGACAACCACGGGACAAATACAGGACAACCGAGGGGCGACCGTGCCACAACCATGGGCTACCGAACAACAATCGAACAGCCATAGGAAAACCACCAGAGAACCAAGTGATGGCCCAGAGACAACCATCGGGAAAACCATCGGGACAGTAATCGGCACAACCATGAGGATAGCCACCAGGACAGCCGTCGGGACACCCAGCAGGACAACGATCGGGACAACTTTTGGATCAGCCCTCGGAACGACCGGTGGAGAACCAGCGGGCCAACCGGCGAGACAACCAGCGGGACAAACATCGCCACAACCATCGGGACAACCAGCAGGACAGCCATCGGGACCATTGCACGGACCGCGGGGCAGCCGCGGGACAACCCCAGGCACGGCCCGGCGCCCGGGGATCCGACTCGTTGTGGCACGATCTGGGCCTGACTAGTGCAGGAGCTCGCGCTGCTTCGCCCCGCCCGCACGCACGACACGGATCGAATCGGTCTCGTTCCCCGACCTCCGATTCTCCAACCCCGCCCCGCGTCGGACTCCCAGCCCCGACGACCACCCGCCCCCTGCTCGCTGCATGCATCCTTGCCTTGGTGCTTGCTGCTGTTGTTGATCAAGGGGGAATGCATCGCACGTGGCGCACCTGTGGCCGACAGTCGATGTAAATTTCACTCGACTGGTTGAATTCTACATGCCATCTTAGGACACCTGACCCTGGTCCCCCGAAATTATATATGTATAAGGATACACAGACCATGCGTTTCCTCGGAGCTGCACAGAAGCAGGAACAAGGAGAAGATGCTTTTGGTTCTCCAACTGAGCGAGCCTGGCCCAGTCAACTCGTGCAGGATGGTTCCCTCGCGTGGGGGCATATGCCCCACTCAACGAGGGCAGCGAAGCGTTCAATGCACAAGAAGCGTAACATTTTGCTACTCTGCTTCAATATGCATTCCACTGACATCGCGTCTGCCAAGCTACCGCATGCACACTGTACTCAGTGGCTCTGTGCCACTCTGCTTCGGTATGCGTTCCACCGACATCACGTCTGCAAAAGCTATCCGCGTGCACACTGTACTCAAATGCGATATTACGCAAGTAATATGCATCCTTCTGATTATGCACCACCACGACCTGCAACCGCTGTGTTATCCTCTATTGATTCGCTCTGTTCGCGCTTCGCGTCGGCGGCGGCTGCCAATACCAAGTCAACTGCCCGAGGCACCCCCCCAGCATCACGGAGCCTATGTCCCTGAGTCATGGCAGCTTCTTTGAATTCGAGCTGTGAGAGTACAGTGGTAACTGCGTTGCACACTTCTTGCCTGTAGGAACGCGTCGCAACACCATCTGTGTCGGCGTTCCCCATGGGCCTGTCCACTTTCACGCCCACGCCTAAATCTACTGCCTTCTGCGCGTTCACAACTTGGTCGCCGAATCCTGGACAAACAACGACGGGAGTGCCAAAGAACATAGCCTCTGTGAAACTGTTCTGGCCACCATGTGTCAGAAACAGGTCTGCGCCGGCATGCAGTATGTCTACCTGCTGAAAAAAAGGCACACAAACAGCATTGGCTGGCACAGCGATATCGCCAAGAGGATCAGCTTGAGATCCAAGGGCAACAACGATCAGTGGACCAGAATCCGCGGCTTCTGAACCGATTGCCTCAAATGTTCCAGCCCAAACAGCCTGACATAATTGTTTTCCCGTTATACTCGAGGAACCTGATCGGGCATCCCATCCGTTGATACTATGGTTGGACGTCACCAAAGTGCCCATGCTACTCATGACCACTTGCCGCCCTGCTTCTCGTGCCCTGCGCACTCGCATCAATAGATTCGCCGACCCCATGGGCACTGACGTGAGATATGTCTGCCCCGTCCACCCACCCAGCCAGGGCGGCCCAATTTCGCAAGTTGGATTGGTCTGCCGGGAGACGGCACGAAAGCTAGCAGTCCCAGGTCATAGTGTGCACGGGAGTTCCACACCTGCCAAAATGGCCCATGACAGGCCCAGGAGGGCGCCTAAATGCTGCAATGACGGCCTGAATAGGGTCCCATAAGGCTACCAAAACAATTGCAAAGGCCGCCAAGGACAGCCCAGGAGGCTCAAAGATACGAGGCTCGCAAGAGGCCCCAAGGTCGGCCCCGAGAGGCCCAAGAAAAACACCAGACTGCCACGACTGTGGAATCACAGTGAAAGATGATAGAATGTCTGCTGCTGTCCGAGCTGTTCGTCCCGTGTGAGTATCGTTTAACCGATCCCCACCCCCAGCGCCACTGGCCGATTTACCCCCCTAGACGGGGATATAAGTCGTCCCCTTCGGGTTTCGAGGGGTGTCCCAAACTGGGTTGGTAATTTGGTGTGGGTCTCGGAAGGGGATGGGGATCGGGATGGGGATGGATCGGTTAAACGATACCGACCGTAATATCTTCACGAGGGCTTCCAAGCGGCCCCGGAACGCCCTCAAAAAACACCCAAGACAGTCCCAAGAGAGCCTCCTGAGGGGCCCCAATACGGCCCCAAGAGGCCCCCAAGACGGCCCAACGAGGACCCCAAGGCGGCTCAAGATGGCGACACGAGCCCCTCGAAACAACCCGAAAAGGCCCAAAGGAGGCCCCAAGACGACCCAGGGAGCTCTCCAGCAGGACCCTGAGAGGACAAGATCACCGAATCATCAAGGGACGTACCCAACACACGCGGGACGACTGGCAAGACCCGGGGAGGCGAAGACTATCACGGATGCCCGCAGGCCAGAGCCCGGATCCTCAGTCTACTCCCCACGTCGACGAGCCCGAGATCAGTTCTCCAGGAAACTGGCGTTGCAAAATAATTCCTTCGTGCACACTAGTGTCGCTTTCTCTCTCTCTCTCTCTTTTTCTTGTTTCTCTCTCTCTCTCTCTCTCTCTCGCTCTTCTCTCTTTCTCTCTCTCTCTCTCTCTCTCCCTCCCTCTCTCTCTCTCCCTCTCTCTCTCTCTCTCTCTCTCTCACTCTCTCTCTCTCTCTCTCTCTCTCTCCCTTTCGCTCTCATTCATCCACCTAACCCTGGCGACGCATTCCCGCGGATGCCACGCGTCGTCGGCACGCACCAGCGCACTCGACTTCATGAACAAGAGGCGCCAGAGATCCACAGCAAGACGGTTGCCATTATGTGTGCCCCCCGTCGGGATGCGCCTCTGCAGCGTCATCGTTCGGGACCCCGTGGTCAAACGCGACTGTGCGTTGGGTCATCTTTTTGAATTCGCAGCGCCATACCCCGCTTCGTTCCCTCCTCCTTCTCCTCCTCCTCATCATCATCATCCTCTTCTTCTTCGTCACCAGCATCGTAAAAGTTCAGCATTACAATCATCATCATCATCAGCAGCAGCACCACCACCACCATCATCATCATGACCACCACCATCACCATCATCATCATCAGCAGCATCGTTATCATATTCTTCTTCATCCTCAGCAACATCATCATCCTCATCATCATCATCATCACCACCACCATCATCATCATCATCATCATCATCATCATCATCATCATCATCATCATCATCATCATCATCATCATCCTCATCCTCATCATCATCATCGTCATCATCATCTGCATCATCATCAGCATTACCATCGTAATCAGAAGTATCATCATAAGTATCATCAGCATCATCATCATCATGCTCGCCATCACCACCATCATCACCACATCATCACCACCTCCACCATCACAAATAAGATTTAGCCACAGCCCTCATACTCTTCCAGCCGAAGGCTCCGGTAGCAGTGCCCGCATGGCGTTCTCCCGCCCATCTCGGCACACCCCTCACACGCTTCGCGGCCCCGTAGGGAGCTCGGCCGAAGGCACTGGTGGCAGGGCCCGCATGGCGTCCCCCCCGCCGTTGTCACACCCATGACGCAGTTCGTGGTGAAAAAAACCATCGAGAACTCCACCGAAGGCCACAGTGGTGGAGCCCGCATGCCGTTCCGCAACCAATTTCGTCGCACCCCTCACACGTCTCGTGCCCTTCATCCGCGTTGCCTGGGCTCCGTACCTCTTGCAGCGAGCCATTTTTTGTGGAAAGGGCCATCTCCTGCGTTACACGTGGCTGCGTATGGCTTCGGCATTTCGACACGCTAAGTTGTGCGTTTCAGCTGCTTGGTCTAAAACGGCATGGCCACCAACGGCTAAGCGGAGGTCCAAACTCGTTCACATTCTGAACGAACCATGAATCCCACGGCGCTGCGAGATGCCATGGCGCCCCTCCGTCGCGCTTGGGAGCAGCGTGGCCACCCGAGCCCCGCTCCCCCCCCATCCAGTGTTCCCGGCACCCCTACCCTGGTAAACAATCGCACCCATGACCCGCAGCAGCCAAAACTGTTCGCCCGCGAGGAGGCCCATGGCAGTCTCAGCGAAGAGTTTTGTTTCGCGATGTCTCGAGGAATTCCATTCCTGGGTCCCGACGAAGCCGTCTACAAGGGGCCTAAAAAGGGCAGGGCGGCGGCAGTTGCACAGACGCCATGGAAGGAAGCGCCCCTGCCCCATGGGGAGGACGGCATGAAAGGGGTAGGGGCGGGGCGGGAGGGGATGAGGAGGAGGGAAAGGGGCAGCAAAAACCCTTCCCCTTCTCCCATCCTGTCCGTTGGAATCGCTACGCTGGCGGGTGTCGGGCGCGAAGACGTTGATCGGTTACCCCTGGACACCATCGACGGCGTCGAAACCAAGTGCCAGGGCCAGCGTGACAAGCTCCCGCCGCGGATGATCACTGACGGCACCAACGTCTGCTACCTGGACGCCCGCACATAATGTCCCGAGGAAGGCATCACGATGACGGGCAAGATCGGTAGCGTCAAGGCCAAGCTCCACAGCAAGGGCACGCAGCTGGAGCGCGGTCACTCAACTGTTAAGCAGTGCGACGGTAACTTGTCAGCACCGTCGCAATACAATTTCGAACAGCCATTGCTCCACTTCGCCGCCTCGTGCGGGCCAGCATGCCGCGCAAAATTCAAGCGCAACGTCTCCCGGCTGCAGGCGGCCAGGTGTCGGAGCGGAGGTTTCCAACTCCTCCACCGCGTTGGTTCAGCAGCTTAGCGTCGACATGCGCATGGGATGGGACAGCCTGGAGGGGCAGCATTCCTCCCTCCTCCCTCCCGGCCGCGTCAGGTAGCGCTTCAAACTTCATGTGATATTCCTCCTCCTCCTCCTCCTCCTCCTC